CTGAGATCTGAATTGTCTGTTTTTGCACGTTATTTTTTTCTTCGCGTTTTGAGGTGCGGACCCCAGGTCAGGTCTCCATCATGCTACCACATAACCGACCGTATTGCACTTAATCGATTGGTGAAAGTTTCACGGCGATTGTACGCGCCGTTTCGGAAAACGATCGCGTCTCCTTAACGTTTGGCCTTTTTAGGCCCTGCCGTAACACCCACAGACGTCATGGCTGTCATTAGCCCTGTTCACTCAAGCAAAGGCAATACCTGGGATTCGACCCCTGCGGAGCAGTCTCTCAGGTGTTCGCTTATCAACACAAATCAAGTCGGTTTAGCTAGGCTGTGGAGCGGGGTGGCTCAAAAAAGCAGTGCTTGGTTCGTTGCCATACCACCTGGCAACCTGTGAACACAGCTCGGCCAGAACACGCTGCGGACCGCGACTTCCTTCCATGTACGCTCTGACTTACGTCGACAAATATAGGCAGCCGCTCACAGGCGGACATGCAGGCTCACAGCCGGACATAAAAGGGTATCCCGCGCTGACCTCCCTGAGCGCAGGATGACCATCTAGACGCAAAGGCACTCAATGACGTTATGAAGCCCGCATTACACGCATCAGGAAACCCGTCTATCTTGGAACAAATTGGCATTGACCGTAGATATGGTAAAAGGCCTGACGGGACGATCATATTCCCGTTCGCCCACGTCAGAGCTTGGTATGAGGTGCCACATGCATCAGTATCTGTACCGCCACCATCCTGACTCAATGTGCGATAACCGCCGGCTCCGCAGCTAGAGAAGCCGAGCACAGAAAGGGTTCAAAATACTCCAGACTCGCTCAGCCGTTTCAGTTTCAACCGTATGCCTTTGAAACCGGCGGAACCTGTGGCCATCGACGTGAAAGTTCTTCCTGTAATCCGTCCCGACTACCAATCTAAAAATTGCACTAGTTAACCATCGGACAGGGGGACACCTTTTACACGCATACTCGACTTCATGAAGCGTTGGAAGGTACCGGTTTCGATACGTGGTCATTTCGACCCGTCTGTTGACCGCTGCCAGGTGTTGCTGCAAGGTTCCGTGTGTTACAATGGTGTAACTACAACACTTTTGTTTCGACGTCTCACAGAGCACCTCACGGAGGGGGCACCAGGGAATCACGTACAGCTCGAGCACAATACTCTCCTCGCGCGTCTAACGCTTACACAAACACTGCAATTCTCTCATCTACACACAAAACAATAAAACTCAACATTCTGGATGCATTACTCATTCATGACCACAAACGACTTCCAAGCAAAGTAATGAATCAAACTACTGAATTATCTCTTTGGAGCAGCATCACAACTAAATCGCTTAGACGAGGAACAAGATACTGATGAATGGCGCGGATATTAAGTGATTGGCATGCAGTGTTGTGATTTCCTGTATTGATTGTTATTCGCGGTATGTGGTGCCAATGATGTCTTCTGCACGGCCAAATAATTGGTTGTTGTTTCCAAGTCAAAACGGCAGTGAGTGCTGTCCAGTGAAAAGTTAATTGTTGGTTTGGATGCTCGTGTTTTATGCTCTGCTTTGAAGTGTTTAAGGATGCCGAAATGAAACGAAGAGCCGGATATATAGAAGAGTCAGTCACCAGTCAATATCAATGATAGCATAGATAGATAGATAGATAGATAGATAGATAGATAGATAGATAGATAGATAGATAGATATGCATATATATACATATATATATATATATATATATATATATATATATATAGATATATATATAGATATAGATATAGATATAGATATATATATATATATATATATATATATATATATATATCATTACACGCTCTGTGCGATTCGGGCAAAAGCATCCGCCAGAACTAATACGACACAGTATCGGAGTGATCAGAAGCAGCAAACTTCACGGTAAATAAATTGCCACACATGTACACTGCGAAAATGCTAGAAAACTGAAGAATGCCTCTTACCTTGTGAGCTCCATAGAATTCAGGCTTTTATCCACCAAAAAATCCTCGTATTCCGGCCATTGAGTTTTAATATTCCCATGTATGCAGTTTGTATACGGGAACCTAGCTTACCGCGCACAGCCCTAGAAAACTAGGCGTGTTTCGTATGCAAATACATAGAGCTTGTTCATTTTCGTCGGATCATGGTGGATTCTGTCATTTCAAGGCCAAGTATTTCGAAGAAAACAGGGCAAAATTCACTTAAATTGACTGCTAAATACCATCAAAATCAGGTGCAACCTTGATTTCTAGCTTATGTAAGGTAAGCCGTATAGTTAATGAGATCAGCTGATGGATGAGGACTAGAGGACCGGAGGAGGACTGAGGATGACAAAGTTTTGCTTGTCTGTTTGGGCAAGGGAAATAGGAGAAGAGAAGAGAGAGAGAGAGAGAGAGAGAAGAGATGAGAGAGAGAGTAGAGAAAGATAGAGATAGAGAGAGAGAGAGAGAGAGATAGAGATGAGAGAGATAGAGATAATAGATGATCTATAGATATATCGCTCGCCTCTCGCTCATATCTCTCTCTCTCTGCTCGAGCGCGTATCTCTCTCTGATATCTCTCCATATCTCTCCCTCTCTCTACCGCTCCTCTATCCTCTCTCCTCTCTATCTCTCTATCTCTCTACTCTCTCTATATATCTCTCTATTATATTATATCTCTTCTCTCTTGAGCCATTGGTTTGCGGAGTTCAACAATTACATTCAGAGCAGCAATTGTTATCAATGGCTAATTGGAATCAGTGGTCCCGCCGGTGAGTCACAGAAAGGGACATCGACGGCCTTTAGTTAAACAATTTCCCTGTATGGAGCGGATTTGGTGTCAAGTTGCATAGCCACTAGATTGATACCAGTGAGAAAATAGGCTCCCTCATGGCGCGGTAATTACGCTGGGGCAAAATGTAGGGCTGCCTGCCCCCACGCACTTCCGGTGATTGGTGACAACCATGTCCTACAGTATTTATCACGTGTCGATAGGTTGAATGCTGTGTTGACCGCGCCATCTGTTGACAAAACATGGATATGGTATTGTTTTGCCATCTAACGGTGCATTTTTAACAGGTCCTGTTGTGCCACCTAGTGGCAGGAACCAAAACTTACTTTGGATTTCATGATTGCTCGGTGTCATGAGCATTGGACCTTGTGAATTTGGACGTTGGTAATTTCGATGGCTGAAATCCACCAATGGGGCACGGAATGGGCGCATTTGATATCTTCTTAACACTGCGTGTGCGATTTTGGATGATATGAACACTAGACGCTGCGATCCTGGACGTCTTGAGGACTTCGTGTAGAATATTGCATTCCGACTCCCGGAACTATATGATGCATGAGTTAGGCGCTTCGGCGCCAAAAGCGACTTTTTAAAGTCAGCATCGAATCGCATTTGGCATGGTATGCATCGTTGAAGCTTCCGGCAAAGCAGATGGCATGGTCTGAAGGACCTTTTTCTTGGACGCCTGGATTTGAACGAAGATGATTTCAGTAGCAGCACATTTAGTTCAAATAAGATGGCAAATAAGACAGATTAGATCAAAAAAGTCCAAATAAGATAACTGTATATGTATCCGCAATTTTAAAAAAACAATCGCAACGAGCACCGATAACTACCTCGTAACACAAGTTGTACCGCAAAAGACGGTACGCGATACGCTTAGGACGTGGCCTGATTTAGGATTTATCTGCACCGAACGGTATAACGCTGAATTGTACCCGAGCCGGCGTGACGTCATTACATCACCATTTGCCAGCGTGCGTGCATATGCCCGCGTGCGTACGTGCGTGCGTGCGTGCGTCTTCGGGAAGGGTGTGGGCGCGCAAGTGTGTACGTGTCGAGAGGCTTTTCAGCTGTCTTGTAGCTTTCAATCACCGTGTACCACCCGTTACATTGAAGTTTAAATGCACGCGCACTTAGCGCGCAGCCTGTGCAATCAACGAGGCTCCTTATCTCAAACTCTTCATTAAGAGCTCAAACTTTTCGTTTCAGTTCGTGATTACACAGTAATATTAGCCTCATTCCTCGGATAAAAACCAGGAGAAAGGAAACATGGTTGAGTTGATATTTCGGCAACATGCCTTTATCGAAACAATACATTAAGTGAATCCATACATGAATCGACTCAATAAATGAAGCGAATTCACTTCATTTATTGTTCCGATAAAGGCCCGTTGCCGAAATATCAACCCAGCTATATCTTTGTACTCCAGGTTTTATCCGAGGAATGAGGCTCATACTACTGTCTTATCTGAGTAATATTTCTCGCTAATGCACTGAACAACTCAGTACGTGATTTTCTGATGTCTTTCTGCCCAAAAGGCACTGTGTTCTTTGATTACCTGAAGCATTAAACCACAACTTGAATGATTGCAACTGAAAACGAAAAAACATCCTTAATATTAGATTCACCTGAAAATTTTTGGTTCAATACCTTAGACAGTCTTGGCACACCAAACTACACGATTACCTTTGCTAGTCCTAAACTCTTACAATGATCAGAAATGTGTCGTGTGTACAATAATATATATAATGGTAAATAAGTGGGATATGTCGGTCATTGGCCGGCTCTTCTGCGCTCCCCCCCCCCCCCCGCGCCCATTAAACATATCGGCGGTAGTGCGGCGAAAGCCCAATGTGCTTTCTCTTTGAATGTTTGGTACCAGCGGTATGCCGCTATTACATCCCTCTTTGAATGTACCGCATCAGTGGTCTATCGCTATTCACTTATTTATATTGATTTCGCCTCGTAAGCTCTGAAGCGGTGGCTGCTGGCGACTCACAGTGCACGCAACGTTGGAATTTGTCATAAAATGTTCAGCAAGACCACGTCAACCAGAATCTATTCTGGCCAGCGTAGGTGGCTTAGACTACCTTGTTAAGCTCTGAGGAAGTGACAGGCAGACCCCCTACCGTGCTGTAGTGTTTTTGTGTTCTGCAGTGTCGTACTTCACGAGCTGCAGAGTCCGAAATTCGGCCGCAACTACTCACATCTTGACGCCCACGAAGAGAACGCCATCACCACAGATGACTGAAAGCCTCTGGAACAGCACAGTGGCGTTGGAGGCGTAGTCCAAGTTTTTCACGTCCAGCATGCTGCAATGGGATATCACGAGCAAATGTCAGAGACCAACGACCATTTCTCACCGATTTCACCATGAAGACTGTGTTCCACGTTCACACCGCACGCGCAGTGTCTGTTTCCTTTCAGATCAAAGGGAGTGTTTCACATTTGCATGAAGTTTTGAGCCCATACTGGTTTCTGAGCTACACACCTGCGAAGATATGCAGACTATTTAGGGGACACTATTTTAAGGCATCCATGATGCGACAGCAACACCATTCAGATCCTACCATTACATAAGCAAAGCAGCGATCTAGGTCACGAAAGAAATAGCTGACGAGTCGTCCATATCTGGCGTTCGTGCGCACGATTTCCAGACAATATGGCTGTCATTTGGCTCTCAATCGCTGTTGTGCAGAGCACGATGATGTAGTCTATGACGTATTGAGGAAAAATTTACTTATAGAGAAATTGCGTTGTCTTGAGCAGTCTTTTCCACTTAGAAGGATGTCAATGGTAAAGATGAGCTCATTCCATTATATCTGAAGCTTGATTCGATATCTTCAAATGTGGAGCACTCCCTTCAACTAGAAACGTCTTACCGTACAGACACAGTTGATGAACCGATACTAATCATACACATCTTGGCGGTCGGCGTCAGGTTCGGACAACCTGAGCTTGTTCAGCATTCGGGACGTCAATCCCGTTGGCTGGCTCGATGCTCATCCCAGCTAACCGGTCGGTCACGGAACGACACACACCTGGGTCTCACTGACGCAACTTGCCTGCTGTTCTACAGGAGTGCTGTACTGAACTGTGCTCATAGTTTTTGGTTACAACACATCCTGACAGGTATGCTCACGAGGGTCCGAAAGTTTCTTTGAGAACTTAGGATATGGGGCGCCGGTAGAGCTGTTAGTCATGCACTGCCGTCCGGGTGGACCGCCCCCGCTCCCGGGGGGGGGAGACATTCTGCCAAACGTCTTGACGCGGCTGGCGTCTGTGGCGAAGGTACCTCTTCCCTGTCTAGCCCACACGTCTGCTCCTGATGGGGTTTGAACGTCTGGCGACAACAGCCACTTGGTGCTGGCGGGTCTGACGCTCTTTTCCTCAGTGGCCAGATGGTTGGCGTGCCGGGCTAGCAGTCGGGGAGCGATTCTCGCCAGGGGTTCAAGCCCCATCACGAGCAATCAAGCCCCGGAGTTTGCACACCATCGACAAGACACGTCGGACGGAACAAAGCCGGACGTCAATCATGCACCTCACGAACACCAAGCCAATGTTGAACATCAATGTGTCAAAAAGGTCATCTTGCGAAACAAATTATGTTAACCATGTGGTTTCTCGTTGCTTAGAGGCTCAAAGGAAAGCACGTGAAGAGAGAACACCCTGAAGGGAGAGTGCCATTTTCCCGTACTTTCACTTATTGTTAGATCAGAGGCGCCCAACTCGATCGGTAACACCAGATTTCCCGGACGCCTTCTTATCTGAATAGCTCAGTCTTTTAATTTGAAGTGGCCGCTCCTGCGGATTAAATGCCATACCCTGCTCACCACCATGGAAGTAATAAATTTAATTTGCCTTGCTGTTTCCATCGTTTGTGTTCCGCAGCATTTGCAACACACTAACTTGTCAAACTGTTTGTGTAGTAAATGTTACGACAGTTGTTCAGTGCGTTGGAGAGGAACATTATTCACATACACAAGACAGTAGTATGAGCCTCATTCCTCGGATAATAAACAGGAGAATGGAGACATAGTTGGGTTGATGTTTCGGCAACAGCCCTTTATCGAAACAACAGAAGCGACTTAAAAATTGCCTGCCGATGGTCCTGCTCGATTTTTAAGTTTTTTTTCTAGAAAGCAGCCCACAGTTTTTACAATACACCAACATTCAGCGGATTGAACAAAGAGCGATTGTCAGCCACTACCACGATACAGTGTTTTTCTAGGAATTAGAATACGCGAACATACGTGCACATTCAAACGAATTCAAGCGAATAGGCATTAAGCACAACGCTTCATTCAGTCATGCAAGTGAGTTGAAGTAAACAGGCATCACACATCGCGCATCAATAATACGTGTGAACAATTCAACTGAACAGGCATCGCACATCCCGCGTCAGGTATCACTTACACATGCAAACGATTTTAAGCTAGCACGCATCACACATAAAGGCACATATCACGTTCGCATAATCGGCCATGATGAGCCCTGTATCTTAAGATTTGGCCGTTGACTTTTTATAAGAATAGATTCACTTATTTTCCTCTCTGGGTGGTCCCGTGCTCTGCAGATGACCTTGAGTTTTAAAAAGGGCATAGGGTTCATACTTCTCTCCATTCCAACCTCAGCGTGTTGTGCCCAAAAAAAAAATGGTCACCAAAATGGGTATTCCCTGTTTTGTTTTTAGCGTCTGGCAGGTGTTCATTACATCCCAAACGAATAGGGCGCATGAACTCTCCGACACAGACTATGTCCCTCCCATGTTTTTCACGCAGTTTACACTTGATTTCATAAACCACGTTCTTTGCGTGCAAACCCCTTGAAATCCAGAACTGCATAAATAACATCTGTTGCCAGTCGGGCACTTAGGCTTCGAGATAGAAGATTTCACCACATACTTTTTGAAACTTATGTTTTTCCAAGCTATGCGTACGCGCAGTTTCGATTTTTTAACAACGTCTTTGGTTTTCCAAAGAAAGTGCTCATCTATGCTATGTAGCGTTAAGAATCCATGTTCCGATATGACGTGTTTCCGTCTCTTACCACCCATACCCCCACGCGCTCCCGGCTTTTTTGCTTCTTCCAGCATTCTACTAAAAGTTGCGTAGAATATCCGTTGCCCAACTGCAAAGCCCATATTTTGGTTATGCTCTTTCGTTCCTTTTCACTACTTGATGAGTTGTTTAGAGCCCTAGTTAAGTAGTTTAGAGTGACTAGAACGCAAATCGATCCCCTCCGTGCGAAGCTAGTGTGCAAACCAGAGAGCAGCTGGAAGTCCGTTACACAGTTTGGCGATGCGGAGGTACGCGTGAGTTTTCATAAGCTTCAGGATTTGTCGACGTTTGAACAGCTGCCTGACGCGTCTCCACCAATGCAGCCCAACCGATCTACCACCGACTCGGTCACCGTTTCCATACAGAAGCTGATCATGTTCGTTACTCATTTTGACGCGCCGAAGACACGCTATCTTGTCTTTAGTTTCGCTCTTGTCCAAATCTAGCGTCGTTTGTTTCAGCAGTAGCTTCATTTGATTTAAAATCTCAACCAAAGTAGCCTGCAAAAAAAATTGTGCCTGAACATTGGCACGTAATGCCCTTTTGAGGCGCACTTTTCTCCGTTTTTTTCACGCCGAAGGGGCGTAGCAATTTGTGTTCAGTCATGGTTATTTGCAGCACCGTTTTGAAAAGCAAGTTTCGTCCAAGTTATCGACCCGGGGCCTTGTTTTTGGGATGATTAGCCTTTTCAAGGATTCATCGCAAATAGCAGTCATTTCTGACCGAGACCGGAGTCTCCCGGCGCACCCAGGCCCTAGCCTTGTTGACGTGTGCATCTCAGTCAGGAGCGAATAGGACCAAATGCAAAGCTTGTGCAAGCTTTCCTGATGTAACTTCTCGTAGACCTTCCTTCACATTCCACCAAGGGAGGCGCGTCCATGCAGGCGACATGGTTCTGCATAAGACTGTCCCCTTTTTCAGCAACTGAGGTGTCCAAGGTAACCAGAAAATTTGTATTCGGTCACGGAAACACTACTAAAATTAGCACGTACAAAAGCGATCAGCTAGTGTAACTACAGGTGGGACAGCCCTCTCGAATCCCCTCCACTTGTGACGTTTTGGTTAGCACCAGGTCAGGCACAGGCCAGCTTGAGGACCAGCATGTATGGTTGTGCAGTTCTGCCACAAAAAACGCCGACAATTTAGGGGTCTCCTTAAATATTATACGTGTTGCATGCTGAACATCTTCCCAGTTGGAGATTACGCAAATTCAACAGTATTAAACCAAGCGGAAAGTCCGAAGCAAGACATCGGAATGGTTTTCGTGTTCTTCGCCCAAACAATGTGAGGGCATACAAATTACATTCATCAGGCATTTCTTGCTTATAAAAAACGCCGACGATTCCGGGGTTCCCTTAAATATCGCACGTGTCGCATGCTTACCATCTTCCCCGTTGACGATAAAGCATATTTACTTGTATTAAAGTCCCACCGAGCGGAAAGCCCGAAGCAAGACATCGTAATGCAGTAGACCTCCCTATTATAACCATGCCAGCACGATACCGGTGTCCTGGTCGCATAAGTCACTTGCGAAGGTAGCAGCACATCAAGGCGCAAAACGCATCAACGGCCATGTTGCCAAGACTCGATCGTGCTTTTGTGACGACTCTCCGGACATTGAGAACACGCGTTCCGACTCAACACACGAAGGAACTATACCTGCCTTTCCTGAGACAGGCGAGTTCTCTTCTCGTTTCCTCATGGCCTTGGCCATAAAAAAAATTAAAGAACCTGATGTCGGACGTATATGAACTGTGATTTGAGTGCAAAACTCTAACCTCACTTAGAGCTTGTGCAAACATTAACTGACGCGAATGCGCTGGTTCAGGATCACCAACGTCAATCGCTTTTGAACCTACATCTACTTGCGTTGCATGCATCCGTTCTCCTATTCTTCCCATCATGTGCAAAACTATGACATGTTCTTCTTTGCAGGAGCCACTAGAGAAGGTTTAGTTCTAATCTCCCCGCGGAAGAGTTGTTGTGGAGCGATTAAAGGACGTTTGCCGCACGTAACTGTCTCTGTCTGACGCGCTGTTCTCAGCGGGTGCTGGTTGTATGAAATGCAACATTGAAGTTTTAACTATTTTACCCTCCATCATTTTTGCGAAAATTTGGCACAATCTGTGTCTACACATCCACGACAAGCACATCATTTTTGGGGAACGGAATGCAAACTTTTGGAAGAATAGCAAAGCATTTGAGCTTCGGCGGGCGTTAAGTAACGCCAACTGTACTTGCGCGGGAGGCCACCCGCGGCCCTCTGCTTGTAATCATGACGACAGGGCGTAGCCAGGACGATATTCCTCTCCCATGCGCTGGAAACAGAGATGCGCCAAGAATGCACTAAACTGAAAGCTTTCTTCTTAATAGGTACTATATTTCCCGCCACTGCGTGATTTATCAAAAAATATTTTGGTCATGCTCATTATGGATCCTTAGACCACACTGAGCAAAATTTCTGAGATTATCAGAGAAGACAAATATGACCAAAACAACCGTCTTGTCCTTGATCTAGTAATGGTCCGTGGTCCGCTGTCAAAGATGCATCAAGTATCGCTCATGTGACGCAAACTGCACCATTGTCGTGCCCTCCACCGCCGGGTAGCTGGCATTCGAATCATGCAATGCCAATACAAATCGGCAACTTTTCATGACTTGTAACTTTGTCCCCAGAGGCAACCCAAAACCCAAAATTGGTGGATTTGTATTTGAATGTTTGGCTTTGAGTGCTAGCATACACGCACCAAACTGTATACAAAACAGAAGGTGTCTTGTACAATATTTCGCCATTTTCGCGGTTGCTTAATCTGACTTCAACGCCACTGCAGCATCGATGTCTTCAGATAACGCAGGTGACGTTACTTACTGAGCTCATGGCAAAATTCTGCCAGTTTGCCCTGCAGAAGACGCAGGCAATTCTCTGGCGGCGTCGAGCCGTGACAACACGCGACACCGCAGCGGGCTAGAATCGCTTTTGAACTAGCGTGAGACTGACAAATTTCATCGCAAAAAGACCGTTCGGGAGTGAAAAAATCAATTCACAAATGTTGGAAATTGTGGGTCAGTGAGAAATGCTCCAGCAAACAAAGACATACCTTCCAAGTTGGCATGGACGTAATATCATAAGCATGACAGCTTTTGAACATCTTACGTCATTTAAGCGAAACAAAAAACATTAAAGAGTAATAATCTCACTCGCACTGTGATGAGCATCAAAAACTATGCAACACCCATGTTTTGGTACTGTACTTTGCTTTTAACTTCCACAGGATTTTTGACAGAAAACAAATAAAATGAATTCAACAATAAAACAACAATAAATTAAACAAGCACAAAGCGCTTAAGCGAAAAAGCCTTGGACTACAGCACACCATTACGTCACCAAGTCAAACACAACAGACATCATACCTCTGGCTTATGTTGAGATAGGGTCAGGAAATACAAACATCATGTCAATGTTTCTTACAAAAGGCTTATGCTGATTTCCATAAAAGCAGCCTGACTAAGTCTAACCTAAAGAAGCCTCACCTTACCTCACCCTGTCAAACCTATTTTTATCACAGCAGCATAGCAAGCCACTGATCATTCTTACAACATCCCTATTGCCACTTGTCATGCAATCAACCAACTTAACCTTACTTGGAGAAGCCAATATGTTGATCATCATCTCAACTCACCCCACCTATTTCTTGACAGCAGCAGTTGTGATAAAACTATACAAAAACGTATTTTCAGCTGGTTTCAACCAGCGTTTTGGTTTAATTCACTTGTCTCAGCTTGTTGACACGAGACAAAGTTGACAACAGACAAAACAGAGCACCTCAAATCACTTTGAAGAATTTGTTCTGATTGTCATGGAAAGCGTCTGTCAAGGGCAATAGTGTGTATGCTCCACAAAACAATCACTCTTCTCCACACGTAGCATAACTTACAGATGGCCACAGAACCAGTTTTCTGTTCTAAGTTTTTTGTTCCATGTTTTCTTTTCTTTACCTAAGTTTAATGACAAAGTTTGATATGTTCGCTTCACATCTTAAATGGGATGGTCTGACTATTTGCTAAAACTGATGTATTCATCATCTTGTAATTGCTATGCAGCTTAGAGTATTCCTGTGTTAAAAATATAGTGCACATATACAGTACAGTCATTTGCCAGGCAGCAAACCATGAAAACTACAGACATCTGGTTAAAGCAGACGTGAGGGACCACTTCCACAAATTTGAGACAAATAATCAAGAACATGGAACAGAATAGTTTCATTACATATCTTGTGGCATCATCACTTGTCTTATGAACAAAACCCGATGGATTAAAACAGAAAACGGCTAAATCTGGTCACAAATCACATGTTAAAAGCAGGAATGGATAGCAATGAGCTGCTCCCCAGGAGAAAATGGCTTTTTAAGGACAAGCTCCTTTCA